TGGTCTTTTGTAGATCCCGGTCTGTTCCCGGTAATGAAATGGCCTCTTTCCAGGCTGGCAGGTGTCTGTGTCTATTTGCAGTGTCTTCTAGTATCACTCTGCTTCGTGGCAAGGCTCACAATTAGTAACAAGGTTCAGGACACAACCACCGGGCTGGGGGCATGGGTGAAGGTGGGGGTCTCTCTGAGCCCCAAGCTGGTGCCCTCAGCACTGTCCGTGCTGCCAAACTACCAGGCAGTTGCTGCAACCAGACATCCTTGAAAGTGTACAGAGCTGCCGCTGGCAGTGTGGCCCCTCAAAGGAGGTTCCCGCCTATGGGGAGATTACCAGAATGATTACAAAGTGGTACAAATTAGTGTAGATTCCCACTCTAGCCTGGGACAAGGCACGCCCAGCCTTGCCCGGGCTGAGCCCTGGGTATGATCTCAGAGGAGAGAACCTGGGCCTTCTTAAGCACTGCTCTTGCCCTTGGCCTGGATGCCAACTGGCATGGAAATCACGTAGGTGAACAGTTCAGTCTCCACCCACCTACTTTATTATGCACAAATGCTCACCTGGGAGGGAGAGGGGTGAACAGAGGTTGCTGAGTAGAATGAGGGAGGGGACCCAGAGACCCAATCCCGGGCTTGCCTCCCTCTCTCCTGTTGTGCACAGAAGCCTGGTCTGTCCCTGCATGGGAAGGCAAGCACGCCACCTCTTTGTGGGAGGTAACAAGCACAGACTGATGTCCTGGCTTTATCAGAATGGACTCTGATGGCCAGTGCTTTTCCGGGTCTATCTCCTGGTTTGTGGCCTTCGTCACAGCTTGGTTTTCTGGAAATGATACAGATACTGTGTTTTTGGTAGAACCACTATCTCACGAATTTGGTGGCCTGCACTCTGATGTCCTGTCTTAGAAGTAAGAGCATGAGCCGCTTGGCCCCGTGGACCTTCCCAAGTGTCCCCACACGTCCTGGGCAGATAGATAGAGTAGTGAAGAATGGTGTGCACCTGCCGGATGCTTAAGCAGCCCCTTCCCTGTCTGGTAGGAATTCTAGATGGCTGCAGGGATGTGGTGGGCCTGGGGTTGTGTAAGTGGATTTGGAGAAGTGTTGATTGCAACACCAATTTTGATTAAAGCACTCCTGTAGAAACTGCAGTTGTCTTTAACATGAGAAAGCTTAAAACTGCCTCCCTCCCTTTGTGGATGGCAGGTTATCTCTGCCTGTCCTTAAAGATAAAGAGTATTAAGAGCATAAAAGATGTGAACAAACATCTACAGGTATCAAAAACACAAATAAACACAAATGTGTCTGGGCAAATTTGGGAAACATCTCAAATCCAGTCATTGATACCAGGACAAACACCAGGTGTTCAAGAGGGACAGTCTGGCCAGAGAAGGTCAAGGGCTTTTCCTGGGGAAGACTATGCTCACGTTCACATTAATATGGTGGCCGTGAAGGTGACTGAGGGTGGAGAGGCTGATTTGCCTAGTGACCTATCTCCTTGCTGGGGATGGGAACTCTTTCTCCCAGATTTTCCCGAGGCCGTGGGTGACTCTCCTGTGTGTGACTTCCTGGCCAGGACAATAGCCATGGCCCAGAATGGGAGGATGACCCAGCCCAGATTGGGGGACCTTCAGCGCAGATACTCAGACTGCTTTTGCTCACCCCACTCGTGCCCACCTTCTCAATCTTTCCATCTCCTTCCATTTTCATACACTGCACCCCTTTTTCTTTTCCTAAGAATTTTGATTATGAATAAAGATACAAAAACTCACATATACTGCTAAGCACATGTCACTCAGCTCTGTCATATCTTATCATTTTGCCATTTCATTTTAAGAAATAAAATCTCATAGTCATTGAGCCCCTTGACCTGTGAACATCTTCATCCATTCTCCTCAAGAGGTAACCACTATCGTGGAATAAGATTATAACCCCCATATCACGCATTGGAGTTGTCTATGTGTATATTTATAAACACTATAGTATTGTACAGTTTTGAATGGCTTTAAACTTTATATACTGAATGTAACCCTTTTCAAGTTTTTTTTTTTTGCTTTTATGAGAAGCTTTTGAGCATTTCTGTTTATATGTGTTGATACTGATAGCTCTGGTTCATTAATTTTAACTGCTGAATAGTATTCTATACCTCAGTTTACCCATTCTCTTATTGATGGGCATCTAAGTGCTTATAATTTGGTGTTCTTAAAAATAATGGTGCAGCAAATATTCTCATAAAAGTCTCCTTACACCCATGTGCCTGGATTTCTCTAGAGTGCATATCTAGGAGGTCTGTGTGTCTCTGACTCTCTAAGATGTTGCCATATTGCTCTTCAAAGTGGGCTCTGCAAATAAGACTCCTCTAGCAGGACTTGGGGTTCCTGTTTTCCCATATTCTCAAATATTATCAGGCTTTTAAATTTTTGCCAGTGGGGTATATATATAAAAAGGATAACCTGGTCATTTTCTCTTCCAGGTCCACAGTGCTTCTAGAATTTTCACCTACAGCTTGCATCCTAGACACACACAGCAAGGATGGCTTAAGCATGGAGGATCTGGCTGGCTTCCCTTCTTCTGACCTCCAAGCATTGGGAGCATGCAGAGCTATTTTCAGGGACTCCTTCTCCATGTCCACTTTCCCCTCAGATCATCTCTCCCTGTGACAGGGCTTTGGGATGCCAGCACATATGCCACTGACCCAAATGTATAAATATCTCCATACTGAATGTCAAAAACTACATACCAAATTTATTTAATGGCAAATAAGAAAATCAAGACATAACTGACCTAATATCCAACTCGATTTCTTCCTCAAACCTGACCCTTCCTCATGTCAGTCAGGGGCACTCTCCTCTATCTGATAATCAAGTCAAAATCTTAGGAGTTCTGTTGAGTGTTCTCTTCCTACTACTCCTACATCAAGTCCACCAATGTCTATCAATTTCTGTGTTAAACTGTTCTTGGATATCCCCCCTTCTTTCGAATGCCTCTGCTACCACCTTGGTCCAAGCCACTGGACCTCTCTTGCCTGTATCTAAACTGGTTGCCTCCAGACTGGTCTTGCCGCTTCTCCTCTAGCCAACAGCCAAAGTGATCTTTTTAGAACCTAAAACAAACAAAGTTTCTTCCCCTCCTAAAGCCCTTTCATGGTTCTTCGTGTAGAAAATTCAAATGTATGGGTACTGTGATCTAGAATGCCAATGAGCTCTGGTCCTCCCTCTCCTGACATGTGCTTCCCCAGCCTCTGGGACTTTCTCTGTATGGAGGGATCTCCCCTTGATCTCTTCATGGCTCCCTCCTTCAGGGTTCCATCACTTCCTCCAAGATCCACCCTCACCAGCCCATCCTACCTAGAGTGGTGGCCACTTAGCTGCCCCCTCCAGCATCACCCTGTTCTGTTTTCAACCTGGCACTTCTCAGTATTCAGGGCTGTGGTCTGTGCTCTACCAGAATATCATCTCTGTGAGAACTGTCCACTTTCATGCTTTTAGCACCTGCCATGAAGTGGGTGCCCATAAAGGTTTGTTGAATTACTGAATGAATAGATGGGGTCAAAGTTTAGAACAGCCTGTAAGCTTAGATGAAGTTTCGGCCAGTGCTCGGGTGGGATAAATATGCTGAGGAAAGACAACACTTATCTTTAGCTAGAATAGTGATTGTCAGAGTTTAGAGCCCTGGGATCCCTTTATCCTATTAAGAATTATGGAGGGCCCCAAAGAGCTTGTGTTCATTTGGATTATAGCTATAGATGCTTGCTGTGTTGGGAATTAAAATGGAGAAGTTTTTAAAAGATTTTATTTATTTATTTGACAGAGAGAGAGGTCACAAGTAGGCAGAGAGGCAGGCAGAGAGAGGGGGGGAGCAGGCTCCCTGCTGAGCAGAGAGCCCGATGAGGGGCTTGACCCCAGGATCCTGAGACCATGACTTGAGCTGAAGGCAGAAACTTAACCCACTGAGCCACCTAGGTGCCCCTAAAATGGAGAAATTTTTAAAAAAATATTTCTTTTGAAACTATTGAATCTATTACATGATGACATAAATAATATGTAAAAGATAACTATAATTTTTAAAAATTAATGAGCAGTGATGTACTATGAGAACAGGGCTGGACACAGAGAGTGCCTAGTTAGCACTGGGAAGGATTCTGTTGGCTGAGGGGTTCGGTGGGCTCAAGAGTTTAGGCCAGCCGTCGGGGACTGATGTAGGCTCTCCTCAGGTGTGTGGGTAGAGGATACAAGCACACATGAACCTTCTGCAAGAGGAGGGCACATCTCCCTCTCTCTTCCCTTTCCCCGAACAGTCTTCTTTATTAAAAAAATAAATAAAAAGCAAAGAATAGGATGAGTAACTTAATGTCTAGAAATTGATTGCAAACTATATATGTCTTTTAGATATTCTTATTTCTGGGGTGCCTGGGTGGCTTAGTCAGTTAAGCATCTGCCTTCGGCTCAGGTCATGATCTCAGGGCCCTGGGATGGAGCCCTGCATCGGCCCCTCCGCTCAGCGGGGAGTCTGCTTCTCCCTCTCCCTCTGCCCTTCTCCCCCCACCCGCCCCTGCTTATGCTCTCTCTCTCTCAAATTACTAAAATCTTTACAAAACAAAAACAAATATGCTTATTTCTATAGCCAGAGCCATGATTGTATAAATTTTAATTCAGGGAATTCCTCTTGAGTTTTGACTTTGACAAAATGAATGTGGAAGCCTGGTTTTTACCAGGATTTGTTTATTCCTCTTTGTATTCATGTTGAGAAACCAAACTGGGTGTCATATCCTTTTTCTTAGGGCAGTACTGAAACCTAAGTTCTTCCTCTTTTTTTTTTTTTTTTTTTAAGAAAAAGCTGCTCCCACCGTCTTTATTTTCTTTCCTCTGGGCAGAGGAAATTCACACAGCCGGGATTTAAAAAAAAAAAAAAAGAGGTGGTCTTCTCTGCGCTCCTGTGGAAGCGGCTGAAGCTCCCGGGCTCTGGGCACGCCTCTTCCACTGCCTGACGTCACACTATTTTGTCTTTGAATAGCTCATTGACACAATCGTCTCGGAGATCGGAGAACTGAAACAGGAGATGGTGCAGACAGATGTCAGCCTGGAGAATGGACTGGAGCCCAGCAAAGCCCACAGGTGACAGAGACGATCAGGTGCCGGGCGTCAGATGGGGGCTAAGTGGACCCTAGCAGCTACGAGGACTGCCGTCTCGGTGGCTTCTCAGAAGTTTGGGAACTGGGAGTGTGGTGGCCTGTCCCGATGAAGCTCTCTGTAGGAGGTGGGAGTGGCCCAGGAACCAGTTGTCTGTTTATTTTAATCACTTTGAAGGCACTTGAACTTTACACACTCTCAATGCCTCCTGGCACCAGAACCCGGAAACCTAAAGTTCTGTCTGTCGTATCCACCTACTCACAGTGTTGGAAACAATAACGCAGCAGGATCCTCCGCGTGCAAAATAGAATTCAGTGTAGCCCGTGTCAGTCTCCAGAAGGCTTAAAGGGGCGTCCTAAGGAGGATGGACTCATTTTGCGTTCTCAGGTCAGAAAAATACCCAGTTCTTAACCATAGCCATTAGTCTAAGATATGACCCAGTGTGTTAGAGTTGGGATGTGGTTGTAAATAACTAAGAAACATGGGGGGCAACATGTGATGCTTGTTAAGCTCGACGTGTTGTGTTCATGTCGCACCTGATCTGAGTAAACTGTAAGGGACAGGTCTTTATCGGGGAAATGGGAGTGCAGAGGTCAGGGTGGGTGGGGGTGGTAGGTTGGAGGAGGTCCCTCCAACCACATCTTAGCTCCTGGATACTGCAATTCATTGCTAGCAAAGGCAACAGAATATAGTCACTACAAAAATGATGCAGACACCAGGTGCCTGCGAGCCCAGGGTCATTCTTAGCTTTCCCCTCTTTTCCCAGGAAATGGGTCGAGGGAGCCTGATGCAGTGTGAAGGTGAGCTTCACGGAGTGGCTTTTGCTCACGGGTCACGAGACAGGCAGGAATCCTGCAAGGGCAGGGGAACCAGGTGGTGCTGGTTGCCCAGGCAAGTTTCAAACCAGCCCAACTTGTTCCCTGCCCTAGACTGCAGGGAGAGTAGGCAATTGAAGGAGGCACTTTGCAGCTGGAAGGCAGTGGCTTAACTTTCCTCTGTTTCTGGAGGAACCGTATTCCCCCTTAGCTGTGAAAATGCCACATGCCCTTCATTTCCTTCCCTTCTCTATAGGGGAAAAAAAAAAAAAAAAAAAAAGCCAGGGGGTAGACCAGATGGTCCCCACGCTTCTTGTGGCAGCACCCAGGCATTCTGTCTGATTTCCCTGGACCTCAGTGGCTGACTTTTTTCTCCATCAACTGAACAAACGTGCAGTGATTTTTGATTAAAGACTCTCCACCTCACACTCAGAATAACGCCAAACTCAATGGAAGTGGACCTTTAGTCAGGGGATTTCCCTTTCCCCTTTGCGTTGTTGAGCTTGAAGTGGGAGTCCGGGTTGGTGTCAAAGGGCAAAGAAGAGAGCTTCAGTGGCTGATTTCTCCTCCATCCAGGGAACATAGCACTGCAGATAGTCCCCAAACTCTGCCGGTGATGGACACCAGTGGCAGTATCCCCTTCCCCCCACCATCCCATGTGCAAGGGCCAGGGATGCTAGGTTTGCTAGAAGACGTGATGTTGTGTCAGCGGCCATCACATCACGATCTCGATGTCTGACTGCTGTAGGTACCAGGCTGGGAGAGCTGGGCTGCCATCTTGTCATTAACATCGCTATCTTTTTATTTTCAAATTTAAGAATGACTGTGAGCATTCCATAATAGCAATGTTTTTCCGATTAATGTCACTTACTCTTAAATGCTATGTTGGTTAGCAATGAATTCATGAGATTTCAGATGCATTTTACTTGCTGCTTTTTTCAGTGGGGAAGAAAGAGAAAAGGCAAGACTGTCTTTTTTGAACAATGTGTACGGTGTTTACCATGTTCCAGCCACTGTTCTAAGTGCGTCACGGCTGCCAGCTCATTGACTCTCCTAACTACCCTCAGAGCTGAACCTCCGGGAGGGCCCTCATTCTACCGATGTGGGACTTTTCTGACTAATGAGGCTATGGGCTTCTGTGCTGGGGTCTCTCGCTGATTTTGCCGAAGCTGGGAGTGGTGACTTCGCTATTAATTCCTCTATTTTGCCTGGCGATGTCTAGGTGGTCAGATATTGGAGAGGTAAGATAGAGAGGACCTTCTGTCGTTCCCAAAATGAAAGCAGAACAGAGCTCTGGCCACAGGGAAACAGCAGGGCAGCCTGGCACAGAGCAGTTCAAATGACAGATGGAAGGAAAGGAAAGGGGGTGGTGAGAGCAGGGTAGCCACCACAAGTGAAACCCCTGCAGAGAGAAGGGGGATTCCCCCCCGCCACCCCGGGACTTTGGCTGGGCATGTTCTGGTTGCTGCACAGATGCAGAGACATCGCCTTCCTTTGTGGCATCCTCGGCGAGTGTGAGCTGTGGTAACAGCCTCATCTACCCCAGCCACAGTCACCACAAAGTGTCTTTGTCCCTTCATTTGTTGAACACTGGGCTGAGTGCCACACTGGTGCCCTAGGTTAGGAAGGCTGTTCCTCTACCTGCACTGTCTTTTGCTTGCTCCTTTGTGGTTAATATTGAGATAGTCTTTAACCGTTTCATGGCTCATGGACCCCTTTCTCAGATTAATATGTTAAATGCATAAATAAAATATGCAGGAGGACATAGGGAAAATAATTCTATGGCAGTAGAATGATCAGAATTCTTAAAATGCATGGTTTCATAGCATGGGTACTTCTTTATTAACACATTAAATAACAAGGTCTAGGAACTACTGTCATCTGGGAGCAAAGATGGCCAGAAATAGTACTTCCTCACCAACAATGAAAATGTTTGGGGGTTCTGCTGGTGACAGAGTCTCAGCTACTGTGCAGATGACTGGGATTTGTTGCCTGCATTCAAAAATGGGAGGAAGTTAATTTCAAAACCAGGCTAGTGGGAAAAAAGATGGTACTTTTCTATCCAGTGGTTAGTTCTGACCTCCTGACATGTCAGTATCTTCCAACACGGTTGATCTACCTTCCCTTCCGGGTACCCTCGACTGGCTTGGCTTTGGGAACACCAAACTCCCTGGTTTCCTCTCTCCACCTGTTGCTGCTTGTAGTCTCCACTTGTTCCTCCTCACCTCCCTCACCTCCTAACCCCGGAGCACCCAGAGCTCAAGCCTACAGCCTCTCTTCTCCCCAGGGCCTCTTCTCTCTCCTACTAACCTTGAGCAAGATACTTAAAAGCCTCCGTGCCTCCATGTGCATATCAGTGAAATGAGGATATTCACACTCATTGAGGGTGGCAAGACTTGAGGGTGGCAAGAGAGATTGAGTGAGTTAATAGTGAGAAAGATTAAGTGAGTTAATAGCTGTAAAGAACTTCGCACAATGCTGGCAGAGAGTACATACCATATGTTGTTTATAAAAGAGAACTTGGTAATTTCATAGTTAATCCCTTCCAGTCTTGTGGCTTTGATACCCTGTGTATATTGGTGATTCCCGAATTATATCCCCAGGTTGGTCCTATTTTCAATCCAGATGTTTGCATCTAGCTGTCTATTCAGCCTGACCTCTGGTATCTCAAACTTACAAAGACCAAGACTGAGTCCTTGGCTTCCTTTCACAACCCTGCTTCCTCCTTGGTCTTCCCCATCCCAGTGACCGTGGCTGTAGTTGCTTGGGCCTCACAGCCATCCCTCTTGCCTTTCCATCTCTCATACCTGTGCTCCATCCATCTCCAGACCCTGGCAGTTCTACCTGCTAAGATTCCCCCATTAGCACCACTGCAGGAGACACCTGCCCAGGCCTCTGCTTTCACCCGTCCTGCCTTCCCTGGCTTGTTATTTAAGCAGCGTAGAGAAGGATCTGACTTTCGTTAACCCAAATCCAAGTCATGTCACTTTTGTTCAGAGCCCTTCAGTATTTTTCATTCATTAAAGTCAGAATCATCACCATGGCTTTTGAGACGCTTCAGGCTCTGACTCCTCACATCCCCAGACCCTCCTTTCTTACATCCTCTTCCTTCTCTGTCCCTGGGCTCCAGCCCCACTGGCTCCTTCCCCAGAAGGCAAAGGCCTCTTGGCCTTTGCACTTACTGTTCCCTCTGCCGAGAAGGCCCTTCCTCCAGGAAGCATTCATCTTGGGACCCTCATTTCTTCTGTCACCTTAGCTGACTTGATTTTTCTTCATAAAACTTGTACAGATTGACATACATGGTCACTTGCTTAAATTGTGCATTTTCTGCCTCTCAGCACTTGGAGGGAAGCGCATTGAGAGTGTGGGTTTGGCCTTAGAATAGTGTCTGGCGTGTAGCATACACTCAGTAAGTATTTGGATGGATGAATGCATGATGCCAGCCCTTTGGAGATTCTAAAGTTATTAAAGTATCAGAAACCTCTTGCAGAAACAAGACATTACCCTGTAAAGCAGTTAGCTGGTGCATTAAAAAAAAAAAAAATCAGAAGTTGAAAATGTGTGATGGGCCTTAAGCTGGTTTCCTAGCAAAGAAGAGGGCCCAGGGCACCTTCCTGTTATATGCCAGCCACGCTTCCCCCATCACTTCTGGGTTCTAGCCTGTTGTAAACACCTGCCAATAGAGGAGCATCTGATTAAATCAATTCCATGCCCTCTGCTAACATTTTACCAAAAAAAGGCTAGGAATCCAGGAGAGGGATCAAGGATTTCTTGTTCCTGCTATTTCTTATTTCCTCCTTCTCTCCACTTCATTGCCCCCAAGACTAGAGTGTGAAGAAATAAAGGCTTTGTGCTTTTCCTCTCCCTCCCCCATGATTTTGTAGTCTGCTTGTAGTTGGAGCCAGCACAGCAGGCCTGCTGTAGGCAGTGCTCCACCCCCATGGGCCAATCTGGACCCATCACCTCTAGGCTAAGACAAGTCTCTGAAGTTCCCTTTGTCCTCAGGTAGAATAGAGGGATTGAGCAACAGGCAACTTCATGAGCTGAGGCTCAGGCTGGCTTTGCAGGCTGCGGGGGTGGGGGTAGTTGGCGGGGAACCTGGCTGGACCAGGTCATCAAATTGTTACCTTTGTTTGCCCTCGTCCTCACTTCCCTCACTCCTCTTGTCAC